GACTGAACATGTTTATTGTAATAAGTTTTTAAGAACGCCCAACATAGTTCAATGGGATTATATTGGCAATTGTATGGAGGAAGGCGAAGAACAGTATGGCCATGGTCTCTTATTAATTTGTCAATTTCAAAGGATTTTTCAATTTGAGGCTTGTAATAACGGATTATTTCCCATAACGATTTTTTATTTAAGGTTGGTTCAAACTGTATATTATGTTCAGTTAACCATTTTTTCATATCATTTTTTTTTGTGCAGAAACTTGGAGCTTTCTCGATTTGTTTTGAGTGATATGGAGCATTATCCATTACTACCGCACACTTCGCACCCAAATTATTTAATGCTGGAAGTAATTGATTTTTCACCCATTCCATAAAAATAATTGACGTCATATTTTTATGATAATCTCTGTGCTCCGTGTTGTCACTGAGCAAGAGATCGCAATTTGGCAAAAACCCTGACGAAGTGCCTGCGTGCAAGATTGTAAATCTTTTTCCTTCGCCTTCTGCTCTTTGCGGAATACCGAATCTTTCATTTTCATTTACCCATTGATAAACTTGGGTGCCATTTTCGTAAATCCAAGTTTCGTCAAGAAAAACAAAAGTATACTCTCCGGATTCTAGGTATTGCAAGTATGTCTTTAAAAATGTAATTCTTTTTGAAACTATATGTGGTTGTTCAATTAACACTTTTCTATTGCTAATCTTTTTATATCTATATCCCCTAGATTTTATAATTTTATGTAATTTTGATCTACCATTAGTAAAATCACATTCATTTCTTGCAAAATTAAGTAAATCATTAAGATTAAAATACTGTTTCTTTTCATGCAATTTTTGTATTTGTCTTCCTAACTCTTCTTTAATAAAATATAAATTATTATCCGTTTTGTAGTTCATTTTACAACGCCCTTGTGTTTTTGGTTTTTTTACAGTTTGATATTTTTTGTAGGTTTGAATAATTTTAAAAACCGTCGTGCTGTGAACCTAATACAATTATGTTGAATATAAATTTAATTTTAAAACTCAAGTGCAATACACATACATCAAAAATACGTGAAGCTTTATCACATATATATTTTAAATTCGTATTTGGTGTCTCCGTCTGTACTTCTTCACAATACCTAATTATAGAGTTTTTTTCGCGTTTAGACAGTTGACATCCCGTTCCACCCTTTCTTAACATTTTTATGGTAGATTTAGCAGCGAAAAAATTATATGAAAATTGTTTTTTAATCAATCTTAACAAATTTGATAGACAGTGGTGGGACACAATTAAAGTAAAAGTCACGACATGCGCTTTTACTTTCAATACCAACTTGACGACACTTTGACAATTAATTTAAATAAAAAACAGATTATATATATATTAGATCTTTCAAAAATCTTAGCACAAATTCATTTTAATACGTTTAGGATTAAAAATTTACGAAGAAAATTAAATTCTAAATTATTTTCCAAAAGAAATGTTATGGTATCAATCATCTAATTTAGGTTGGTGGAAAAAAAACTCCCTAGTGGTAATTAGTTGACGTTTGACAGTTGTGTTATCAGTTGATTCCTGTCACATTTATCATAGAAGAAAAACGCTTTAAATGTGGTAAATATTTATTTTTTTATTTATTAATTTATTTTTTTAACTTAAACGTAAAGTATAATATAAACTAAGAGAGAAAGAAGTTAGATTTCTTTGCATTTGTGGTCACGTGAATGGAATTCAATAATCCGAGTTTCGTTAAAAACAAAGGAGGTTTGTGCTTGTAGTGATATCTTAATGATAACGATGTAAAAGTACCGAAATCCTAATGCATTATGTTAAGAGGCCTACCTAGCTGGCGAAAAATTCGAAACCAGATTCCCTCGTGAACACGCTTAATGCGGCAACACCGCTCCATGTGTACTCGATCGGGCTGGCGCGCCAGGCCGATGGCGACTAGGACTGTCCGATTGTCGGGTAATTCCCCGACAATCAGCGACGTTGATTTTATTCTTAGTTGAATGCATTTGAATACGAGTCGGGGCCGCTTTTTGGAACATAGCTGTTATTGCTAGTATTTCATTATTATCGATTGTTAGTTAAAATTATATATTTTCACGAAAAGGGATGTTGGTGGATGCCGATCTTATCAGATTCCTCATTATAAAATTGCACAGTATACCAAATTTTATCTGTATATGACAAATCATTGAAATTATTACAGATAATCTATACCTTAGCCATTTATTGATTTATACAGGGTGATTTATCAGCTCACCATCAAACTTTGACATATGATAGCTAATCCAATTACAAAAAAAAATGTTAATGAACATATGTCCTATTTTAATTAATTACGAAATTATAACACTTTAAAGTTTTCATTTTTATATCATAATTAACTGCTACATTATTTTTAAAACACATAAATATTACAAATATTGTTCAAAATAGACTCCTTCTGAAGAAGGAATACATGCTTCACAATGACGAATTAAAGAGTTCTTCAGCCGAATTAAAATGTCTGGTTGATTTCTTGTTCCAGTAGCAGCCATTTGTATTCTGTTTAATGACTGTTTTCGTGTGTTAATTTCCACTTGATACACAATTTGTATCATATGACCCAATAAGTAGAAATCCAATGGATTAAGGTCGGGGGATCTAGGTGGCCAAGCAAATGGACCATTACCAATCCACTTGTTTGGAAAATATTGATTTAACCACTCGACAACTATTCTTCCGCGATGAGGGGGGCATCATCGTGCTGGTACCACATATTTTGAATTACATACATTAAGAGGTATATCTTCAAGTAAATCAAAAAGTGTGTTGTTCAAAAAAATCTGTAGTTTACAGCGTTCAAACGTCCATCAAGTACATGCAAACCTAGTAAATTGTTGTTAAATAATCCACCCCAAACGTTGATGCTGAAACGTTGTTGAAATTTCCTTGGTCTAATCGCATGCAGATTTTGTAATGCCCAGATATGTTCATTATGGTAATTATTTATACCATCTCGTGTAAAACATGATTCATCTGTCCAGCGATCATTTGAAATGAAGTCATTATTTTGGGCATGTTACTACAATAACCATTCACAAAATGCTAACCGTTGCTGATTATCTCCTGGCTGTAGAGCTTGAACGTTCTGTTTACGATACGGATGAAGGACTTGTCGATTCAATACGCGCCATGCAAAATGTTGACTTACATGTATGTTGTGTGCTATTCTTCGAGTGCTGATGGAAGGATTATCAATGACAGCATTAATTACAGCTTCTTCGTCCGCTACATTAACTACATGCGGTCGAATAGGATTACCTGTTTCTCAAAGTCTTCTGAAAGAATCGCTAAAAACTGAATAATATGGCAAATGACGCTGTGGAAATCTTTCTTGATATTCTGATACTGATTGTCGACCGTTTCAATTGCAAAAAAAATACACGAAAATTATATCAGCATACTCTTCAGTGCTATAAGCGTACATTTTGAGTTTCTTCTTGTATGTAATAATTAAACCTTACACCAAACTGATATATTACAATGACAACTTTGTTTTTGTTGAATGTTTGATTTTACTGACTATTAATAAATTCGCTGCAGAAAACTTTAAAGTGTTATAATTTCGTAAATAATTGAAATAGGATATATGTTCATTAACATTTTTTTTTTGGTAATTGGATTAGCTATCATATGTCAAAGTTTGATGGTGAGCTAATAAATCAACCTGTATTTAAAGATTAAAAATGTTTAGACTAGCTGTCATAATTTTTGCTCTAGCAGTATATGTGGTTGAAATTATGCCACCACTTACAGAAACACCATATATTTTATATAGGGTGCCCATTATTTATGGAATATAGTATATATCTCGGTAAATGTTGACTTTATAAAAAAACATTTTATACAAAAGTTGTTTAATATTTTATTTGCCATAATAAGACAGCATTCAATTGTTTATATTTCAGAAAACAAATGAGCAATGAATAACACTTGAATTTTTTTAAATGGCAATGTACCCTTTCGTTAGGCTCATTTGATAGAGATTGTTTTTCTCTTTACGATGATGTAAAATTTTAGTACCCTTATATCAGAAAATGTTTGAAAAAATTTAAAAATTGTTATTAAGAAAATTTTTAGTTTTTTATGAGTTAATATATTTTTTTATTATTTATATTGTATTATTTATTTTAAAATATACCTTTGGTGCTTCTTTATATTTTTATTTTGTATTTATTTTAATAATTAATCTAATAGTAGATGATCAGATAATTGTGCAAATATTCTCATTATTAAAAATGTATTGCCACATTTAGACATTGTTTTGCATTCTACGTAAATTAAATGTTTAAATTTAAATTAATGATATACAAATTTTTTGATCTATCCGAAAATATTAATCGCTTCAGGTTTGTTTTTCTTGGGAGACACTACGCCGACGTCTCGGTTACTGAGAATACCGAGCTCCACTATGTCTCGGGCAATGTTTGGGACGGAGCAATATTTGCGATGTTGCCGTATTTATACTCCACAAGCAATCAAAACGGACTACACGTTTTAAACCCATTTTATTTAAATTTGCTGCATTTAATAAAAAAATTGAACTCTTTAAATATGATTTACTTTACATTCCACTACCTCGTGATGCATTCCGTTTTTAAAATTTTTTTAAAACGTGATTTTAGAAACGTTACGCGACATTTTTTGAAAAAACTAAATGCATCACTAAAAACTATATAAAAAAATAGAAATTTTGATGTAACAAACATACAAAAATTTTAAACGATGGCTGAATAAAATGGTATTCGTTGTTTTTGCTAATAGGTTATCCTCTTAATAAGAAACTTGGAGAAAAATTTTTTTTCCTAACATGGTCAAAACAACGTAGAATAGTTTAGGACCGTTACAAAAACCATTTTCGAGCCTAGGTTTGAGGACGGCTGAGAGTAGTCCCTCGGCAATTCTATGTTTAGAATCTTCTTCGACCGCGCTTCGCACACACCAGCAGCAACGGCGCGGCGCGGCGGCAGCACGTTCCTTCAGATTTCCAAAAAGAACGGCACGAAGAAGTGAATCGCGCGGTCGTCGTCTGCGCTAAACGAAGTCCGTGGCGCAACTGCGCCGCCGGAAGAAAACAAAACAGGACCGCGACGACCGTAGAAGTAACAGTGTCGTTGACTTTTCTTCTTCGTCTTCTTGTATGTGTGCGTATCGCCCGCGAAAACAAAAACGCGAATACTCTCGATTTCGTTTTTGCACGTAAGGATTACGTTGTTTTAAAAGAAGGTTAAGGACACGCCCAGGAAACTTTTTCAAAAATCCCAAACCAAATTAAGAAAATAAAACAGTTTCCACTAAAAGATGGAGTTCAAATTTTAGAGGAAATTCTTTTTTGATCAAGTGATTTAAAAACAAAAAAAAATGCTGATTGTTTTTTTTAAACTCACCTGTCTGAAGATTCCGAACTGTCGTATCTATCAACACAACGTTTTTTTCTGCAATCGTCGTCTTGTAGAAGTCGTATCTCTCCGTCGTTGACAACGGCGTCTTCTTCAACTTCCTTCCTCTTCTTCACATCATCATCATTACTACTACTACTATTACTATTTGGGCCCGTCGATGCGCCCTCCACAACAATAACACCACCGCGCAACATCCCGATCACTTGTCTTCGACAATCACTCAAAATCCGCGCGGCGGCGACATCCCGATGATCACTGTGTGTCCTCGCGGCGACGACGTCGCGACGCCCAAAAGCCACTGGTTCGCTACTACAACAACTAGTCCTCTTGCGACCAGCAGTGTTCAAGTCCTCCTCCGTCGTGTCCGCAGCACGTAGACCGTCTGCCATTTTGAACGCACTGAACGGCTGAACGGCGCGGACGACCGCCGCCTCGGCCCGATGGATGGCGCTCGCGCCGTGACGTCACCGCCCCACGCCTCTCCGGACGACCGTCGAACGACGTCGCTTCCCTCCTCCCTCGTTGCCTCCCTTCGCCTTTGGTTCTCTCGTTCGTTGGCCCGCCGGCAATTACATAATTTACTTACGCCGGGTAATGACACTGCTGCTAGCTGCTAGTGTGTTGCGCGCGATCTACAACCTACAACGACCTAAGCGGTATTACTACGAACTAATAGTTATTACTATACTATAGTTAGGTTACTATTTTTTCTATTTATTATAACCGTCAATAAAGTGTTAAGGAATTTAGTTGCTATCAGAATAATCAATGAACCATTGATTATTAACAACGAAGCACATTTTGAACACTTAAGTATAGACAAAGGGCTACCACCAGGAGCATAACAACGATTATGGTCAGTTTTTGATCAATTCTCTTGGTAATTCTAAATGCATAACACGGGTTGGTTCCATATTGTTTTTATTCCCAAACCAACCCAACCTTAACATTTTTACTGGAAAGGTTGGGTTGAGAAATGTCCATGTACCGAAAACTGCACTACCAATAGATGTCAAGGAGCATTTTATTAACTTCAATACCTGAGTATCATTGCAAAATTGCAGAGTCCAAGAATATAATAATACTTGACGACACATACGCCTTGTAACTCACTGGAATTTTACGCTAAGACATACAGCATTTTCTTATGTTCAAGGAAAAACTTTCTTTAGTTTGACACAAAACACTTTGTTTGAGAATAATTGATAATGCGATTCGGAATCACATCTTTTTCACAGAAACCAGGCATTGACTCATATCATCTATGAAATAAAAAAAAAGCACTCTATTTACCAGAATGCTAATCAAAGATGCTTTTGGCCAGAACTTTAAATTTTGAAAGATATACAGGGTGAGTCACGGGAAATAGATGTTGATCGCTACGTACTTAGGTTGTGACGGAGATAGAGAGGTCTCCAATTAGCATTTAGTATCCTTCATACTGCTGTGGACTCAAGAAAACTGCATGTTTGCAACGACTCTTTATAGCAATCCAACGTCTCTTTAGGTACCAATTTCACATGGCTCGTCATGGTGATATCACCAGCCGCAATACCATTCTTAGGTGGGTTAATACACTGAGATCAACTGATTTTTTAAAGAAAAAACGGCTCTGCCATAACCGTCAGAACACCGGTAAATGTGGATCGAATAAGATTGACAATGATCCAATTATTATTATTATTATTGCTGCCGAGCTGAGGAGGGCGGCCCCTCTCGTTACCGCGACCTATAAGATCTATTGTATCTTTAGCCCTCCAAAGGTTTAGGGCAAATGTATGTCCTTAATGAACCTTAGTATTGTCCTGAGGTCTTGAACCTTTATGTCGGTAGGTAACAGGGTAGTTTTACCGAAGACGTTGTGCCTTAGACGGCCTCTGGCGACGCAATTGCACAGTATATGTTCAGCAGTTTCTGACTCGTCGTTGCATAGTCGACAAGTTTGATCCTCAGCTTGTCCAATGTGGAAGAGGTGGTATTTTAGGGGCACATGGCCGGTTAGGTAGCCTGAGAGCGTTCTTAGATCCCCTTTGCTGAGGCATAAAACCTCTTTGGTTTTGTTTTGCGACGGAGTTATCATACTCTTCGCTTGTCTGTGACCTGGAAGTTCTTTCCAGCGTAAGGCTATCTTTGAAGCCTCCCAGTTGTTGATTATTTGTTTTAGGTGGCTTTTTTGTAGTCCACATCCAGGTTGGGGTCCAATGAAGGGCGTGTTTGCTGCCTCTTTGGCCAGCTTGTCGGCCTTCTCATTGCCCTCAATGTTGCTGTGACCTGGAACCCACCATAGGGTAACATCATTGCCCCTAGCGAGTTCTCTCAGGTTGTTGGTGCACTCTCTGATCAGTGCGGAGCCACACGTGTAGGCCTGAATTGCCTTTAAGGCGGCCCGACTGTCTGTGAAAATGTTTATGGATGCACCTTTTTGTCCCTTCTGTAGGTTCAAAGCGGTGCAGAAGTTTATAGCAAGAACTTCTGCTTGGAAAATTGTTAAGTCCGAGCTGAGGGGCAATTTGATGTGGCTATTTGGTCCACTGATGCCCATGCCTACTCCAGATCTTACTGTCTTTGAAGCATCGGTGTACCAGGCTAGGGCTCCTCTTTTTAGTTGAGGCCCTCCTTTCGCCCAATCATCCCTGCTACTAAATATGACCTTATACGGTTGGTTGAAATTGTATTCCGTCGGTATAAGGTCCGTTTTAATTTCAATCAGGTGATTTAGACATGGGTCTTTGAGGATCTCGAGGTGTCCTCTGAGATTACCCTGCATCAACTTGAGTGAAGAAACTGTTTTCAGTGATAAGGCACTTAAGGCTGCCTCCTTTTGTATATATATGTGGAGCGGTGTGAGACCAAGTAGGGCTTCCAAAGCAGCCGTCGGACAGGATCTCATTGCACCCGTTATGTTAAGACATGCTAACCGCTGGATTTGTGCCAGCTGTTGTTGAGCTGTCTTATGTTTTGTTTTTGGCCACCAAACCAATGAGGCGTAGGCGACCATGGGTCTGATTATTGCTACGTAGGCCCAATGAGCCATTCGTGGTTTGAGACCCCAGTTCCTTCCTAGGAGCCTGCGGCAGATCTGGTTTGCCATGATGGCCTTTTTCCTCACCTTATCTAAGTGTGAGTTCCAGTTTAGTTTACTGTCAAGTATTACCCCTAGGTATTTAGTTTCTGTTTTGAGGTTAATAGTTCTGCTTTCAATGGAGGGTGCTTTTATTTGTAGCTTCCTTCTCCGAGTGAAAGGGACTATTTCGATTTTATTGGGATTGATGCTGAGCCCATTGCTTCTGCACCAAGTACTGGTGAGTAGTAGGGCTTTCTGCATTAGCTGAGTTATGATTGAATCATATTTACCTCGGATTGTGATTACCAGGTCATCAGCATACCCTTGTATCTTAAATCCGTTTTTAGTTAGGGTGTTCATCAAGTCATCAACTACCAGGCACCATAATAGAGGTGATAGCACTCCCCCTTGGGGACATCCTCTTAGCGCCTTTATAGTCAGCGACTCGCCTCCCAGACTGGCTGTGATCTGCCGACTTTTCAACATGGCTATACACCACTTGATTGTCGACGGATGTATGTCTTTTACGTTTAAAGCCTTCTCTATGGATTCATATGAGGTGTTATCAAACGCACCCTCTATATCTATGAAAGCACAAAGGGCTATCTCTTTGGTTGCAATTGCCTCCTCTAAGGTGCTAGTCAAAGCATGGAGAGCGGTAATTGTTGATTTTGCTTTCTGGTAAGCATGTTGGCTAGGGTGGAGTGGATTTGTGAGAAGCACTCCATTCCTTAGGTATTGATCGATTACCTTTTCCATCCCTTTGAGGAGAAATGAAGTTAGGCTAATTGGTCTGTACGCCTTGGGGTCCGCGTTTGAACGCCTACCACCTTTAGGTATGAAGACCACCTTTACTTTCCTCCATAGAGTGGGTATATAGCTAAAGCTGTAGCTAGCTATATATAGGGATATTATTATTGGGAGAAGGTCTTCTAAGCCTTTTTGCAGAAAGATAGGCAGAATTCCATCTCCTCCAGGTGATTTTAGGGGCTTGAAATTCGAGATAGCCCACCTTACTCTGTTGGGTGTGAAAATATTCCCAGCTGTGCTGCGAACCCTACCTGATGGACGGGTTATGTCCATTACTTCAGGGTCGGCATCTGCATGGGGGCAGACTTTTGAGGAAGGAAAGTGTGTACTCAGTAGGAGCTCCAACGATTCCTTAGCATCCTCTGTATATTTACCATCTTGTTTGCATAGGTGGCCTAGATCAGTGTTGTGATCTTTTGCCAAGATCTTATGCAGACGAGCAACTGTAGGCGTATTGTCTATGCCTTCACAGAAGCTGCGCCAGGTTTTTCTTTTGGCTTTGCGGATAGCCAAGTTATATTCCGTTAGGGCTTTTCTATAGACATCCCATGTTTGCTCGAGTTTGAAATTCCTGACTTTATTATGTAGACAATGATCCAAAGTCTCAGTCGGAAGAGGAGGCAATAAGGCAGCAAGAGATTCTATGACAATTGCTTAAAACTGCAGTTCCTAATCATCGATGAAGAAAGTACAACAGATTTGTGCTCGTAAGAATGGTTGTCATTTGTCAGACGTAACTTATCGATTATAAGCAAAGTCTACAGAGGAAGTCTACTAAGCAAAGATATTCCACTAAATCAATTATCAAAAAACAGTTCATAACTTCCGTTTCTGAGTATCGTGTTTGCCAGCTTGAGAATTACGTTTCTACTTGCTCCAAGCTTAAGTTGTTGGGCTACACGTTCATTTATGTGGTTTTTGGGATTTTATTGCCTTAGACTTGAGTGTGCTTTAAACTAAACTATAACCAAGCATTCTTTTTTTTGCATTAGCAAAACTCGATCTCTATATTTAGTAAAAGTTTGTTCTCTTAAACTGATAATGTTTTTTCACATCAATATGGGGTAGAGATAATAAAAGAATTAATCGTATAAAATAATTTTATTACTTATTTTAAATTGAAAAAAAAAATTATAAAAAATAATTATAAATGCATTTAGTTATAAATAAACAACATTAAAACATCTTATCTAACCCAATTTAAGCTTCCAATATTAATTTAATTTTAAAACAATTTATAACTTCCTTTTTCTATTATCACATTTAAATCTCGCCATATGTAACAATTTTTTTAAATAACAATTTCATCGTACAAATTTGACATACATATAAACAGTTAACTGTATCTAATCATACAAAACATTTAAGAGTTAGCGTTGTGAGTGTTTCAATGATCATAATGAAATAACATCGTCAACGTGTGAAATTTATAGATTTTAAGTCCATAAAGCAGTTGGCATAATTCCTTCTACTGAACTAACAGCTGGTGTAAGATTTTCTTGGCACAAAAATTTTAATGGAAACAGCACCAAATGACCCTCAATACTTTGCAGCATAGTTTCCGACCTTGATATTTCACTTAAATAAAACGGTTTTTGATTAATATACTCTTTCAACGCGCTAAAAGTTTCAACATTATCACTTGGTATGCAATGGAATACTTTATCGTAAAACTCGGTGTTGAGAGAAGCCGTTTTATACCAAATTTCGTTATAAAAATAATCGGAAATCGGATCTTCAACATCAACATCAATTCGTTCGTGTTCCCTACCGATCAAACCTAAATGTTCTTTGAATAGGTGTTTTCGTAAACTTCCGGCATATTTCCCCGATGGAAAACTGTTCCCATTCATTACCCCATCGTTAAATTCTTCATCCTAAAATAATTTTTTTCTTAAATATATCTTAGATAATTAATTTTAAGTTAGTACCTCAAGAATTACAGCTATTTCTGAATCTCTTTTTCCAATTAACGACCTATCGTTGATATTGGCAGACCCGCAAATAACAACTTTATCATCGACAATCATTAATTTCGAATGAACGTAAATTAATTCCGTTATCGGCTCATTATTTAATTTCGAATGATTTCTAAGACCATAAAATGTTATGTACTTTGAAGGATCTTCAATTCCGGCTTCAGTGAGGCGACTTAATAACGAATCTTTACCTCTATTAAAAAAAAATTAATTATTTTTAGGTTAATTGGAAAGTAATGAGTAATGACGTTTGTGCACATGTCAATATTTGATTGCCATCTATCGACGAATTGAGTACTACAAAGACGTTTAATGATATACAGCGAATACACCTTGGCTAACAGGGATATACACCTTGGCTAACAGATAATGTGAAACTTTTGATGGATTTAAGGGACAAAGCACTTCATAAATTTAAACACACAAACAGTTTACATGACTGGGACTATTACAAAATGTTGCGGAATTATACTACAGGTGCAATAAAAAGAGAGAAAAGAGCTTATGTGGANTACCACCATGTGCTGAATAAGAGGGTACCACAGTACTTGTATGAAAGAATTCGTTTCCGAACTGACGTTCACAACGTTAATATACGTAAAAAAGATTACCTGGCAATACCGCGTCACAGGCTTGAGCTGTTTAAGAGGTCGTTTTCTTACACCATTGTTTCCTATTATAATTCTGTTCCTCCTGAATTCCAGCACCTTGGTGGTATCTCCTTCAAGAAGAAAATCAAAAGGCTCTTTCTGACCTGTAATAACTAGTCATTTATTACAGGTCGCGCAATTGTTTTTTTTTTCTTTCTCCGAGACTCCCATACACACTATGTTATGATTGCTGGTTTTTCGTAATGCTTGCACTGTAATAGTTGATTCGTGGCCCTTTCGTTTCTTTTCTTTTTTTTTTTTAAGTTTATTATTTTTACCATTAGTTAGTAGTTAGTTAGTTTAGTTAGTTGATAGAGATTTTTTTTTATGGGGTGCCGGAAGAACAGATCAGTGTTCTTCACTGTTCTGAGGTATCTCCATTTGACGCACATTTTTTTTCTTTTTTCTTGTTGTTTGTTTGTTTTTTTAATATGTATACAAATTTTCTTTTGTTATATTATGGATATACTTATATTATATTATGCGTCAATAAATAAATAAAATTTCACTTAAAATGCAATATACAAAAACATTTCCACAGAAACCAGGGTACCTACTTACTTTGTCCTACATAAAATGCAACATGTTTGAATGTTTCTGGTTGTTGGTCTAATGTTAGTTCTAGTTTTACACTGGCACTATCACTAGAACTAACACAAGACCTAGAACTAGAATCATTCGGGTTTAGTCGTCTTGAAAGACGTGCGGCTAAACCCGAATGTTTCTAGTTCTAGATCTTGTGTTAGTTCTAGTGACAATGGTAAATAGCACTAGTTAGCATAACATATCACTATGTTGCATATTTTTATTGCATTAAAACTAGTACTAACATTAGACCTGGAACTAGAAACATTCGCGTTTAGCCGTCTTGAGAGACGTGCGGCTAAACCCGAATATTTCTAGTTCTAGGTCTTGTGTTAGTTCTAGTGAAAGTGGTAAATAGCACTAGTTAGCATAAGATATCACTATATTGCATATTTTTATTGCACTAAAACTAGAACTAACGCTAGACTTAACATTTTTGTTAAGTCTAGCCACCAAGTCCAGCTGGTTAATTTCCAGCCACCCAAATAATAATTAATTAACATAATTATTTAACTCCTCACCTAGAAATTGTTGAATAATTCCATTGTGTAATCGCCCTTATTGAATTTCCAGAAGGGCCACCAACTTCACCCTCAAATCCAGGTAAAAGAGGTAAAACTACGTAAACACGAAAAGTTGCATTTTCTCTAAAATAAAAACGCTAATTTAATTTATTTATTTTAAATATTAATAAATAAATTACTTATGCGCCCTAATAATTCGTTTAAATAAACTTTCTTGTATTTGATTCCTTGTGTTTCCATTTCCAGCTGGGGAAGAAATAAAAAATTGATTCTCAATATAAATGTAATGTTGCGATCGATTAATCGCGTCAACGTAAGCTTCGTGAATACTTTGCTCGACAGTGTTCGGTTCTAAAAAGCCACAAGACCAAGTGCTTACACTCCTTATAACTTGACACGACACTTTCGATGCGTTATTGAGGTTATCAGCTTTTTCGTTGTTGTAAGATTTCGGTAAAAGATATGGATAAGTTTTATTTAATCGGGCTTTTTCTAATTTGGTGGCGTTCCAACGTTGAATAAAATGCCTTGCTATGTCTTTAGCGCTTGATCCTTGCACACAAACGGCTACATCATGCCACGGCATTCTCGGGGTGGTTAATCGATCGATAAAATCAACAAGAGGTGAATCTAATTCGGTCCAATCTTTAACGATAAAGTTACAATAATCTTTTCCGTACCAATATTTAGCGGAACCGTTTAAGTTTCGCCTTAAAATTTCTTCTTTTAACTCGGATTTATTTTCGTTTTCTAAAGATTCTTCATTTTGGGAGTACACCATATTAAAAAATTCTTTTCCTTTCGTTTTCATGCGTTTCTTGATCGCTTTTAATCCATGTTTTCTATGCATAGTAGGTGTATTCATTTTAATGTTTTCTAAATTTGAGGGGATCATTAATTGATCGCCGGGTTGGAGTTGAGGGAGATCTGGTTCGGAGTCGTCGGATTCTTCTTCGTCTAATTCATCATCTAATTCATCGTCTGTATTGATTAAAATTTTAATTTCTGGTTCTTTTTGTTGGTAATAAGGATGAGTGGGGATTGGGTAAAAATTATCACCCCCCGGATTAGACGAGGTCTTTTTTTTTAACGTTGAGACATCCGTTGGGGGTGTAGCACTGCCCAAATCGATTAATCGATGTTCGAAATCATCCCATCTTCCGTAACATAAATCGATTCCACCTAAAAAAGCGTAAGATTGATCGACGCAAACGATTTTTTCGTGGTGGGCCCATAAAAATATCGCAACTTTTACATGATCCGGATGTCGGAGGACTTTTATGTTGGGGTGAGTTCTCGATAAAACATCTTTGCTGTAATAACTGTTTAAACCCAAAGCCATTTCGAATTCTTTGTATAAAAGAATAAAAATTTTGACTCCTTGTTCGGCTTTTCTTTGAAGCAATTTATCCAATCTCCAATAATCCCCTTCTAAAGCAGGGCGTTTTAAATAAATTTCGGGACTTAACCACCAATCGGCTATAAAAATTTCTTCTTTTGCGTTATTAATCGCATCGGCAACTGCGGACATATAACTCGAACCATCTACGAACCAAGAAGCCGATGTGTTACTTCGTATAGGGGCGAATGAATGATACCGATTAGGTTGGGTGAAATCCTTAGCTAAACAAAATCAATTTAATAACTTAATTCTTTAATTGTAGTAATTAATACCTAATTCGTTCGCGTGCAACTTAAGATTATCAATCCATAACTTTCTTTCAGATCTAGTTTTAGCTTTAAGCACGATTTGTCTGCTTAATGTGATTATTTGAAAGCCTTTGTGTAAACCGGTTGCGTAAGCTGCCGATGATACTTCGAATCCTTGATCGTATAAAATAACACACTTTAAAACTCCCGTATTCGGGTCAACATACCCGAAACATGTATCTTTTAAGAAAAACCATCGTTCTCGCCATGATGAACAAAAAATTTCTTGGGAAATGTGTCTACATCTAAAAATATACATAAAATATAAATAAAATTCTTATTATTAATACGTTCGCTACCGCGCCTTCTCGGTACTTTTTCCCGTGTACCATTCGTAGTTTCTTTGACTTCGAGATTTGAGGTTTGTGTTATTTATATGTTGGATTATTGTATATGACGTTTTTGTAAAAAAAGATCTAGTCCAGCGCACTGGACTTTAAATTTTTAAGTTCTGTACCAACGTCCAGTCAACTGGACACACCCGAATTTCTTCAAAGTCTCTATTTTCTTTTTCTAAATACAACGTAAAGTGCTATACAAACCAAAATGAATACTACGGCTACCTCAAAATATTACAAAACATAGTTATCGTGCACAGTGCCAGATTGGATGGATCTACGCATAAACTAGGAATCTGGACATATCGGGCAGTTGTATCTGGATTTCTTGTAAACTCCACCTCTGCTACACTGGCGACACCTCTTCATCGCAGATTTGTCTTTTTGTGGAATTCTGATTCTCATTGACCTATAGCATATCCTTTATAACTTCTTCTCTGAACCTCAAGAGATCAATTTTGGTTGAACCTCTTTCCTTCTTATACATGTAATAGACATTCCACAGTGCAATATCTATAAGATGAAAGAACACTTTTCTGTACTATCTTATTGTTTTCGTTGGCAATGAGTCTATCCCGGACATGTACAGTGTGTTAATTAATTATCGTACCCAACGTCATCATTGCAAGTATGCAACCCATAACGCGATTTACGTATTGCCATACGAATACTGTGATATTGGTTGCATACTTGCAATGATGACGTCGGGTACTATAATTAATTAACACAGTGTACTTATTGTAGGCGACAACACACTCTGGTTTTATTACTTGTTTTCCCTTTCTATGTGTTGCTTCTACTATTCGGTGTTTATGCACTGTTCATCATAGCCACCAATTTTTTATCTTTCTGGTGTGTAACCAACACTAGACCTTTGCTTTTCCATGCAGCGTCTCCTTTCTTAATTTTTTCGTGAAATAATTGTTTCGGATTTCCCTTTCTAAATTTTCGCAAAGTTCCTACAGACAAGTTTCGCCTTCCTTTTGAAAAAATATGTTGCTAGCCAGACACTAGTGTAATAATTATCAAGGTATTTATTTCACGCCCTTTATCCAAATAGTCTTTGTATTAGGACTGAAAAAATTTGGGAATGCTCTTGATCATTGTATATTATAGTGCCTTTTCCAGTCCAGATAAGTAATCAAATCGCAAAAACCTCAGGATATAGCAAAACCTATTTTAGACATACATTTTCCGAAAACCGGGTGAAAGTAAAGAGAATTTGTACTCCAATGCCTTGAGAATCGAGGAAAGTGTATAGTTCCAGATAAAAGACAGAGTCCAGTTAATTTTGTTATTTCAGTTGCAACTTTATTTATTGTATATATCATCGTCAAAGAACAATCTGAAGTAGTCAATAGGTTTGGCATTATTGCCCAAATTCGATATAAACGATGGTACCCCGTGAACGGAATATTTAACCCTATGTGTCCCAAGAAGTCAAACATTTTGAAACTTTGTGACAGAATCAGACAGAATTAAAACGCTATCAAAATACACTCAGTAAAGGCGTTTGGAATAAAATTTTAGCAAAATATGCAATCCCCCTATTTTCGCATAGTCTAAGTGTCATAAAAGATGCTAATTCAAAACTTCCTGGAAACCGTCTTTATTGAAATTAAGAAATAAAACTTATTTTAAATTGAAGCTTGAAGCTTTCTGTTTAAATCGATGTATAACAATCGATAGGTTGAATTAAAAAAATATTGAGAAAAAGCGTATTGAGTTAAAACTAACATTTTCGTATAACCTAAAAGTGTCAAAAAAGATGCTAATTTAAAAATTCCTGGAAGCCGTATTTATTGAAATTGAGGAATGAAACTTATTTTAAATTAAAGCTCAAAGCTTTCTTTTTAAAATGATGTATAATAATTGTTGGGTTGGATTGGAAAAATATTAAGAAAAAAAATGTTGAAACAACACTTACATTTAAAAGAGTCAAAAAAGATGCTAATTTAAAAATTCTTAGAAACCATGTTTATTGAAATTAAGGAATGAGACTTATTTTAAATTTAAGCTCAATGTTTTCTTTTTAAAATGATCTGTAATAATCACACCTAATAACCATTTATCAAAAAAATATCTTCTTGAACAACAAAATTCAACAGCACCACTTTTCACTAAACTTCTAACCTCACATCTGGATGAATAAGTTTAAAGTGTACCTAAAAATCCTACAGTGCGGATTGCGACGTTTTTTATACAGATTATTTCTTGTATACACTTGTATAGTAGAAAGTACAGACAGCTCTAAGAGCGCCGAATAGATAACTACAGTTTAAAATGAGTGTTTAAAATTACCGGTACTTTAAAATACCGTCGGGACACAAAGGGTTAAGGGATCAGTTTCCGTGTCGGTTCAATCCTACTCATTATCAGACTCAAACTGCAAAGCTGGTGTAGCAGGAGGTGTAGAACCATTAGAGTTTATTTCATCATCAGTAGAAGGGGCCGAATCGTTAAGTGATAAGTCAGCCAAACTTACTAAATGTGTAGGAAAAATCGTTTTCACTCGAAATTTCTGATAAATGGTCAACAATGTACTCTAACTCAGGTTCAGTTCTTCTTCGTTGTTGTAAATGGTCTTGATCCCTTGCCCTTGTAATTCGCGTACTAGAGCTAACCATAACACAGAATCCTTTATTTGTACAGTTTCAAATAAAGCTATACTCGTACTTACCCAGGAACTGCTAAATTCTCAGTTGCACTCATTGTTCTTACACAAGAAATACGACTACAACTAACTAAACACCAAAGGTTCTGGTAAAGAACCAGAACTGGGTGTACTACTAAATGCACATGCAAAGGGTATGACCCGTATTCGTATTTCAAACATGAGAAAATACATTCCCCATCATCAATCAGCCTATCACCACAGAAACAGCCTAGACTTTCAAGTACAGGCTACAATATTATAATTTATTATAAGCACCAGTGAGAGGATTTTTGGGAAAGATGCGGAAAAAAGGAAATCAATGTTTGAGAGCTTGATAAAAAGCTCTTAGAGAATGTGCAGACCAAGTACTGGAGGTAGGTGTTGGGGTTGGCTACAGGAAAGAAATGAAGGTAGATAAGGTGATGGTGGAGACGGGTAAGCTTGCGGTGTGTTTTGAGGAGAGTGCATTGTAAAATCTTGCAGGAGTGCTACAGACAGATTGAGGCAAGTAAGGGGCGTTATGGGCAGCGAGAAAGGGAGGAATACTACGAAGGGTGGGGTATTCAATGGAAGAAGTGAACAAGAAAAGAAAAGAGAGGATTGAGATGTGGAAACAACTGGAGAGCAGGGACATGGGAATGCAAGAGAGAACGACGACGATGAGGGGGGTGAGGAGGGGAAGAGGTTGGTAGCCAGGTTTAGGTGTGGGATTGAAAAAAGGGCCAACAGATATTGGATGGAAGATACAAGCTCTATGGGGAGGGCTGGGAGTCTGGGAGCAATTTGCTGGTGTAGTGTAGTGATTTTAGGGAGGAGGTGATGGATTGGAGACAGGTGTTGGGGGAGAGAGTGGAAGGAAGGAGATGAATGGGAGAAGTGGTGGCAGCAAGGAAATGTATTGAGACAGGGAGAGGTTGGATAAAGTGATAGGATTTGGAGTAGTTATAGATAATGTTGTTCTTTTTTGTAATATTGTAATCTTCTAGAGACATTAAATCATTATTCCAGTAGACAACGCCGGTAGCGAACGTGTTAAGTAAAATTACTTAATTTACCTAAAACAACAAACAGATTGGAAACATCCAAATAAATTACAACCGCTTTGTCCTGGTTGAGTACTCCCAGTTCGTTTCCCAATAAACCCCTCTTTACCTTTAATCCCTAAGTTGTAAACAAACGATAAATTTGATACCTCTAAAAAAGCTATCTAAAAATAATTAATAAATTATAAAAATAAAAATGAATTAATTTTATTACTCACAGTAGCTTGATGATACCTATAAATATTAATAGCAAGAAGATTCTGTAAATAATCTTGTAATTGTTTTATTCTATGATCTAATTGATCATAAGAAATTAACATTTCAGGTTTTTTAGGAAATCTAAAAAATGAATTATTAAATTAAATTTTTTCGCTTTCATTTTATTTTACCTAGGTAAAACAGCTTTTTTCTTCCTTTTTTCGCTCGCATTATTTTTTAAACTTTCTCTGCGCCGCTTATGTTCCTTAGAGGGAAACGGCACGTTCAAGCTAGCTCTAAAAATAACCAACTGATGATGTAAATCTTGGATGTGTTTATAACGTTTTTTAATTTTCCAAGTAAAACTTCCATGTGTTAAAGAAATTGTGTACCTATTATTGTAAGAAAGAAGTAATTTAACCAATTTATTATTTTAAATGATTCAATTTACACACAAATTCGGGTTGAGTAAGTGTGTTGTGTGGTGAGTTTCAACATCAACAATTGTAACCTCAATTGGAACGGCTGGTATAAACACTTCTCGATGGAATGTGGTGTATTTCACCGGAGCGTTATGTATTGCATTGAAAGGAATCCTTCCTGGAGTGGGTCCTAACATAATTAATAATGAAATAATTAAAAAAAAAATTTAATTATCATATTTGGTACCTTCCGCTTCATCTTTATTAAGTACTATTTCTGATCCTTGAAATTTAACGATCGTTAATGATTCAGGAACGTCTAAGTTATCATCATAATCTGTATCTGATAAAACTCCCGGTGATTGCGGTTCTTGAGTACCATTGTTTTGTAAGGCCATTCTATAAAAAAAAATTTATAAAAGTATTTAGTTCAGATTAGATCAATTCAAATAATACCGTAATTAACATAATTATACGCATTTTGACTTCTTTATCTAATCGCAATAGCAAACACGAGGGAATAAATTATGTTGTGATGATAACAAAATTGCGAATTCAATTGACGCAAATTTCTTTATTTATCGATTAAAAAGTACACCAAATAATATAACAAATTAAATTTTGACGTTTTAAATAACCTAAAAAAAAATTAATATGTAAACTTTGACGTTTAACATAACCTAATAAATTTAAAACTTTATTTAATAAATTAAATCAAATTTATAAACGCAAAATTAATGTAAGCAAATCTAAAAATAGGGGTTTCAAAAATATTTTCTTTAATAGGCTTATTTAAACTGTTTAGGTTCTAATTAATCCTTAAAAAAAAGTATGACTAATCTATAATAATTGTTTAAGATCTCACTAACTCTCTAAAGATCCATTTATATTAACCTAGAGATAAAAAATTAACCCGTATTTTCTTACCTTTCGCTTAAAATTAATTCAAAAGAGTTTTAAAACACGTCATTATTTTAACTGTAAAGTTTATAATTGAAGTGATCAACAAGTGTTTTTTCGTTGAGAATTAGGTCGCGGAAGGACGGAATAGTTTACGCGTAACGATCACAAAACCGACTGATTCATGACGACTATTATAAGAAGAGAGTTTTTGCTAAAGGAACTTACTCAAATAAAGCTCAATTATACTTCCCACTTTACAAAATTAGTGTAGTTATGAGAAGAATGAAGTTGCTAGTTAATACGAGCCGATTAAATTATTATATTTGTTAATTTCTGTGTGAAATGATGTTAAATTAGAAATAGTTGTAATGTTAATTATAAAATTTATATTGTACAACTTTCTTCCAACAAAAATAAATTGTGCTCGTAAAGAACAAGGGTGGATTTTATTTAATTTTTATACAATATGGAAACAGATTTAATCATTGTTATTATTAATTATTTATAAAAAGATACTTCGGTGCACTTCGGTGGTAGTTATTGTAAGGTGTAAAATGGGTTGCCTAAATTCAGTAAAAATATGTCACTTTTAACGTCACTTTCCATCCTCATTTAATTCATAATAAAATAAAACTTTATTTTTCAAACTAAATTTAAACATAATTCCCATCAACCAAATGCTTAAAAAATCCGGCTGCTTTTTTGCGATTATCCACATTACTCATTGGTTTTATAATCCAAACATTATCCAAAGTAGTTACTTCCTACAAAAAAAAAATTAAATCAAATTTCAATATCAAAAAAAAATCATTACTTGAATCTCATCAATATCGGCAATCTCTTCAGCGGCTGACATAATAATAGCTTCAGTTCCCATAAGAAAAGTGAACATTCCAATTTTTTTCATTGCATCCTCAACTATATCGACGTTTATAATCCTGGGATTTGATCCCAATTCATTTAAATACTCCGAAACGGAATTCGAATATATCTTTATTAATTCATCCCAATTTTTATCACGAATCACCGGATCGACGCAAATATACAAGAAGAAAGTTAAATCTGTAACAACAGGGGCGCATCGTGTTAATTGATAATCGATGATTTTTACATCAAATTGATTGGTTTCGGTGGTTTTAACCAAAAAATTAGGGGCCCAACAATCACCGTGGGTGACTCCACATAAAACAGTATGGTTTTTACATATTTTGCAACATTCTTTATAAATATCTCGCTTGATCAATTCCTCAAATTTATCTAAATATTCTTTTGAAAGCTCCTTTTCAATTAAATCTCTTAAAACAAGAAGAAGTTTATTCATCACCGGTGTGTACCAAGATCTAAATTTTTCATCAAAATAAGTTTCTTGTAAAGTTGAAATGATTTTTTGAAACTCATCAGGTTTTTGATCATTTAAAGCTAGTGAGATGGCATGAAATTTCCCGAAAGTTCGAATAATTTCGATGGTTTGCTCAAAATTTAAACTGGTGTTTCTTGGTAATCCACCATATTTTGAATAACACAAATCTGTTAATGCAATAAAATCGTTTTTTCCATCCGTAAATGCTGAAAGGCACCTAAAATGAGAAAAATATTTAAATGCGAAATAAATGAATTTATGAACATACTCTGGAACAATATCTAAAGGATTTTTAACATTTTTCGATTTTTGGAATGCATCTAAACATGGCCAAACTTTATTGTAAAATAGAATTTCGTTTTCAAAGAAGTCAACTGAACGGAATGTTTCTTTTCGAGCTAAATTGCTTGGAAATGATTTTACGATGATTGGGATTGTTTCAGTTTCTTTGTCAGATCTAAAAACAAAAATGGATTAATTATATTGATTTAAACTTTATAAGATCTTACCCAGCTTCACATATTTCAATGGAAAATCTGGTCACAAGACTTAAATAAGATTCTCCTTTTGTTGTGGGAGCCCCAAAAGAGATGTTTTTAACAATTGGATTTGTGAATTTACTCTTTTTGTTAACTATGTCCGAAATAACGTTCGAATTGAATTTTTCTGATACAGTTTTAGTTAAAATATCCATTTTAGTGTAATTTTCTTTGTTTTTAAGGAGTTAAGTTAACATGTTTTAGAGTTCAGATTGGGATTGTTTCAGTTTCTTTGTCAGATCTAAAAACAAAAATGGATTAATTATATTGATTTAAACTTTATAATATCTTACTCAGCTTCACATATTTCAATGGAAAATCTGGTCACAAGACTTAAATAAGATTCTCCTTTTGTTGTGGGAGCCCCAAAAGAGATGTTTTTAACAATTGGATTTGTGAATTTACTCTTTTTGTTAACTATGTCCGAAATAACGTTCGAATTGAATTTTTCTGATACAGTTTTGGTTAAAATATCCATTTTAGTGTAATTTTCTTTGTTTTTAAGGAGTTAAGTTAACACGTTTTAGAGTTAAGTGCCCCCAATTCAGTAAAACTTTTCTCTTTAAGTACTTTATATTATAATTACACGATTATATAAACTAAATATTACGTTTGCAATAAACATTTAAGTAAAATGGAATTCAAGGTGTTTTATTTTTAATTTTTGTTATGAAAAAATAAATTCACAATTAAATATTTAATTATAAGATAAAATGGAAAGATAATTATTTAAAATAAAAAATAAACAAGAATTGTTTATTTTATAAAATAATTTTATAATAAATTCTTTTAATAAAGTATTGATACGTCAAATATAAACCTAACCTCACATATTTTTTTATCTCTGACCAGTATTGCCAGATTTGAACATTATACCACAGAAAAATGAATTAATTGATTATAAAATTTTTTTATAATAATTTAAAACAAATCTATTTTAAAATAAAATTTTATAATTTATAATTTAAGTACAGTTCCCTGTAATATATAATATGTCAAAGTCAGTTTTGACATAAATAACTCTTTAAAACAGGAAGAAGTTTATTCATCACTGGTGTGTACCAAGATCTAAATTTTTCATCAAAATAAGTTTCTTGTAAAGTTGAAATGATTTTTTGAAACTCATCAGGTTTTTGATCATTTAAAGCTAGTGAGATGGCATGAAATTTCCCAAATGTTCGAATAATTTCGATGGTTTGCTCAAAATTTAAACTGGTGTTTCTTGGTAATCCACCATATTTTGAATAACACAAATCTGTTAATGCAATAAAATCGTTTTTTCCATCCGTAAATGCTGAAAGGCACCTAAAATGAGAAAAATATTTAAATGCGAAATAAATGAATTTATGAACATACTCTGGAACAATATCTAAAGGATTTTTAACATTTTTCGATTTTTGGAATGCATCTAAACATGGCCAAACTTTATTGTAAAATAGAATTTCGTTTTCAAAGAAGTCAACTGAACGGAATGTTTCTTTTCGAGCTAAATTGCTTGGAAATGATTTTACGATGATTGGGATTGTTTCAGTTTCTTTGTCAGATCTAAAAACAAAAATGGATTAATTATATTGATTTAAACTTTATAAGATCTTACCCAGCTTCACATATTTCAATGGAAAATCTGGTCACAAGACTTAAATAAGATTCTCCTTTTGTTGTGGGAGCCCCAAAAGAGATGTTTTTAACAATTGGATTTGTGAATTTACTCTTTTTGTTAACTATGTCCGAAATAACGTTCGAATTGAATTTTTCTGATACAGTTTTAGTTAAAATATCCATTTTAGTGTAATTTTCTTTGTTTTTAAGGAGTTAAGTTAACACGTTTTAGAGTTAAGTGCCCCCAATTCAGTAAAACTTTTCTCTTTAAGTACTTTATATTATAATTACACGATTATATAAACTAAATATTACGTTTGCAATAAACATTTAAGTAAAATGGAATTCAAGGTGTTTTATTTTTAATTTTTGTTATGAAAAAATAAATTCACAATTAAATATTTAATTATAAGATAAAATGGAAAGATAATTATTTAAAATAAAAAATAAACAAGAATTGTTTATTTTATAAAATAATTTTATAATAAATTCTTTTAATAAAGTATTGATACGTCAAATATAAACCTAACCTCACATATTTTTTTATCTCTGACCAGTATTGCCAGATTTGAACATTATACCACAGAAAAATGAATTAATTGATTATAAAATTTTTTTATAATAATTTAAAACAAATCTATTTTAAAATAAAATTTTATAATTTATAATTTAAGTACAGTTCCCTGTAATATATAATATGTCAAAGTCAGTTTTGACATAAATAACTCCTAAACCCATTTAGGTCCAAAATATGTCGTAATCGCCCCACGCAGCAAAGAAAAGACCGCACATGTTCAAGAATTGGGTAAATTATGTTGATAAAAACGCCGAAACCGACTAAATACAAATTTGTTCGTAAAGCTGCTACAGTTTTGTTCGTCGCTGAAGGATTGTTTTTTGGTGGATGTTATTACGTTTATCATAAATTAAACACAGATAGGGGTAATTTAATTTATTATTTGCATCTTAATAATAATTCTAAATAATTAATATTAAAAGATATCTAAATTAAAATCTTCAAATCATTAAAAAAAAAATTGTGTAGGCAACCAACATTACATGTATTTTTTGAAGATTTTAGATTTTATATGCACAATAATTTCCCAAAGATTTTAAATTATTATTACTCTTTGGGGGAAAGAATTGGAGGGACTGGCGAGAGAATAAAAGAAATTGACCAAGCTTATTGGGCGAATAACTCAAATTAATGGCAAATAAACTCTTAAAATCGTTAATTTACTTCACGGGTTTTACAGGTTTGGGTTATTTACTATTAATTGCCACAAAACCCAGTGAAGCTTCAATCGAACAAATTAAAAAGGTTTTTGTTTTAACACCGTATCAATTAATCTAATAAAAAATTAATTTATTTAATTTATAGAAATATCCCAATCAACGAGAAACTTCTGCTGAATCATTGAAAAAAAGGGAGCAATTTGCTAAAGTTTTACAATCAGCCGCAGCAGATACACCAATTTATTTAAAAAATAAAGAACCATCTAAAGACGAATAATTATAATACAAAAATGGAGTCGAATTTACTTCAAGAACGTTGCGATCGTAAAATAGAAATGTTAACAAAGCGTGAAAATGAGCGAAAACAAGATTTAGAGAAAGGAAACGCCTTAAAAAAATTAGGAAACGCCGAAAATGAACAATTAAGCTACTTCGAAAAGAGTTTTAATGAGAAAAAATCGAAAATCGAACAAGATCTTAATAAATCAAGTGAAATAAAAATCAAGGATTTGCCCGAACACTTTGATAAAATTTCTAAGGACATTTTGAGTCTACAAAAATATTTGGCGGGGTCAAATTTGTTTTTACGAGGATACGATATTAAAATTTATCAACAAATCGTTCAAAATTTAGGAAATCAATTCAAAGACATCGAAGACGAACTCATCCCAAAAAAAAAGTTTGGATTTAAGAATATTAAAACCACTAAAAATAAAATTGAAGATCAACTAAATAACATAAAAAACGGGGAATCATCGAAAATTGATGAAGTCGATTCGAGTATCATTAAAAAAAATCTTTTTACAACAACATGCGATTTAATCGATAAATCCAATGAAACTTTATCATTAGATTCAACGGATATTTACAAAAAAGATATTGCGCTAACTAACTTAACTAATTGCAAAGTAAAGTTGTTGGGGACTCCTTCAACTTTGCATATAAACAAATTAAAAGATTGCCACATTTTTACTGGACCCGTTTCCACTTCGATTTTTGCTGAAAACTGTTTTAATTGCACTTTGATTATTGCTTGCCAACAATTACGATTGCACAGTTCTGAAAACGTTCGTATTTACCTGCATGTCACTAGTAGAGCTATAATGGAAGATTGCAACCAAATCTTTTTAGCCCCTTATAATTATCATTATAAAGGTATTGATGAGGATTTTGAAAAAGCTGGTTTAAATCAATTAATTAATAATTGGACAAGCATTGATGATTTTAACTGGTTAAATATTGAGAGAGCTTCACCCCATTGGAGTTGTATAAATGAAAATGAACGTGTTAGTGATTGGGAAGATTAGTGAAACGATTTTGGTTGTTTAGTTCTTTTTTATGTGATAAAAATAAATGTATAAAAAAATTATTTTTAATTTATTTTCATTTTAACATCTTCTAAAACACAATTTTTATTTAATTTAAATTCCATATCTTTGAGTTTGTTTATTTTTTCACCGATTTCTTTCAATTTCTTTGAATCATCTTCTGTTATCTTAAAAGGATTATTTTCTTCTTGATTAAATTGAACCTCAACTACATTAACCTCGTATTCACTCATTTTGGGGTAAGAAAATATCGATCAAACACTTTAATTATTGTTAAATATAGTTAAATTAGTTATATTTAGTTTTAAGAGTTTAGGTTGGTAAGAGAAAAGAAGTTAGTTTAGAGCCAGTGTTGCCAAACGTACGATAATTATCGTACACGTCCAGGTGGGCCAAATTGGGCACTTTTAACCCTCCAGTGGTGACGCGCGGTCTCTTGGACCGACAGACACTCTCGATCTGTCGGACCAACGTCACTAATGACGTACCAAAAATTCGTACATTTATTTATTTATTTATTTCTAAAATAAACAGGGTTTCCCCTAATTACAGATTTCGGAATTACTACATAATAATTAAACAAAATTGAACTAAATATTAAACTAAGCCGTACTCGATTTGTAAGCAAACAATAAAAAAGCAAATAAGTAAAAAGAAACAAAATGATACAAAATAAAACAATAACGTAAAACAGAACAGAGGAATGGAACAGAATGCGCGAAGAATTATGAACTATAATAAGATTCTATAAGATCAGCCACTGCACTGGGCGGTTGCAACGTTCATCACAGACATCAAATTCTTTTTTACTGTTTTTACATCAACGCCAAATAGTGGGATGAAGGAAGCCATAGATAGTTTGTTATATAACAAGAGAATTCTAATAAAAGGAGAATTTCTTCTGAGTTCAGTGGTAAAGCGGGGAATGTAAAATAGATTTTTCAATCGTCCACAATATGCCGGCACGTAAAAACCAATCTTTTCCAAGATTAAAGGTGCATCTATTTTATTGTTTAATATTTTACATAGAAAACAAAGCGATATGATTTTCCTTCTAATAGATAACTTAGTTATATCAAATAATGTACGCGCAAATTCGTACGATCTGAACCCGATAAATGCATTAAATTGTTTGTAATAAGTATACCGAATAAACTTATTTTGAATAATTTCGATTAAGTTTGAATAAAGGTCTGATCCAGGATCCCATACAATTAGCGAAGAAT